CTCTCTCTCTCTCTCTCTCTCTCTCTCTCTCTCTCTCTCTCTCTCTCCTGCTTTGTTTGTTTTGAATCTTACATCCTCTGTTTTCCAATGGACTTTAAGCCGACTGATTTCCTGCCCCTGAAGCATCTCACTGCACTGCCAGTGTTAATCCTGGCATATGATACCATTCATCCTTGTTCAGGGGCTTAAGTGGCAGCATAATGGTTTTGGGACTGACGGACAGATTTACAGTTAAAAGTCCTGGGCCGGCCTTTCCCTCTGCCCCAAGGGAGCCGGCAAGACTGACTGAAGATGCCTTTTCTGTAATGGATTTCTTTTTATTGCCTTGGAGGCCATCTTAACTCAATCCAATTGCCTTCACCCTTTCCCCCTGGCCAAAGGTATGCTATTCATTTCTTACTTATGGTAAAGCCATAAGCTGCTACAGTCAGCCATTGGAGAGGGGTGGTATGGCTCCCATGAGCCCTCTTATGTAAATATGACCCTGAGGGCTTTTTAGCATCTTTGAGGTAAAGTAATTTCTTCTGTCCAGTAGTTTGTTTGCTTTGAATAAAGTCAAACATTTTAAAAATTGAATTTTACCTGATAGCGAATTAATTAATTTTGGGTAACTGCTGTCCAATTTTGAATTAGATGCTACATTGTTTACGAGTCACTGTACATATTGAAACAAAAAAAATGTAACAGCAACAAACAAACAATTAATGTGCTCATGCGTGCTCATTATATCTTGGCCAAATCATCACAGTAGTATACCATGACAATTTCGTTCATCATAATACAAGATCTTATTTTAATAAGATTTAAATCAAATGTGTCCCTTTTCCAAACTTGTTTGATCACCAAGAATGTGAAAAATGAAAAAAACGAGTGAGGCCAGTTCAACAAATAGTGTTAAAGCTGCATTGATCAATATTGTTTCTATTATGTGTCTATAAAAGGGGTAAAATAAGGAGAAAAACATGTCACTGCGGTATGTATATCGGCCTGTTTTGGAGTTATTCCGCCTCCTAGTGGTCAAAAATCGATTGATGGAGTTTTAAAAAGCCAGAAAGAAAAGATGTGGATTATTTGTTGACATAAATCTCTTAGAGAGTAAATGTAAACACGTTGGTTGCTTAAAAATAACCAAAGCTTAGTTGATTAATACAAACAACATAGAACTTTAAAGTTACATTTAGTCCGTGTGCACACCTGTAGGACACAGATACGGTATACTGAAGATCCAGTTTAATTACTATGGTAGCAAAACAGCCGTTCCCTGCAGTAAAGCTTGTTTCATGGTGAGAGAACCACTGAGAAACAGATTCACAGTATCTCTGGCAGCACACCTCTGCTGACCACCTCAGTCGGACGAACGTGCAGCAAACTGGCAGTCTGCAGCACTCACCATGCAGATCTAACAATAGCCTCAGAAAAACAGCCCATCATGTCTCCCGCTGATCAGCTTGGGGGACGGAAAATGATAACTACTCCCTGCATCTTTCCCTCCTTCTCTCCCTTCAATGACCTCCATCTTTAATCTGCTACCGCTCCTTCCTGCTCATCCCCTCACCTTTTTCCCCAATTAGCAACAGAGTAGAGCTGGCGCAGGTCATCTGACTTGTAGACTCGATAGTTTGGCACATTGTGAGGCAAAAGTGGCATAATGGGACCAAGCACAGAGAGACGAGTCATGTCTGAAAGCAATCATGTTCTTATCTCACAAACAAGGTGACCAGCGGAGGACTGGCAAGAATATGCTCATGAAAATATGTATTCTTTTTATATAATAAATGATAGAACCACAATGCACCTGGCTGCTGGGTGGTGTCATGAGTCACAGCAAAATAAACAACTCACATGGTCAAAAGGTTATGTTCAATGCTGCCCTCGTATCAACAAAAACAAAAAATGAAAATCTGACTGTATTCAAAAACCTTTTCTTTAAAAAAAAAATACATTTTTTTATCTGTTTCTGACAAAAGCTGTCTTTTCACAGCTCTTCTCCTTTTCTGGACACATTTCAGTCAGCCTTCACAGCAGAGCTGAGTCAGCTTTCCTCCGGGTGACAAATAATTTGTTGGTGTCTTTGGACTCTGATAATCATGCGGTTTTAATTCAGTGGGAGCTCTCTATGACAATCAAAGAGAAAAGAACAATCAATTTTGCAATATGTGGGAATCATGTTGGCACTCAGGATCAGGCTTTGATCAGCTAAGGACAGGATTTCTTGTTCACATTTTGTCTTCCTCTGCGGTGTACCACAAGGTTCCGTTATAGTGCCCATTTTCGTCCCATAGGATATGCTTGCAGTGGGATCTATTTAAAGAAATGAATTAAATAAATATTTACTAACACTTCATATCCTGGTTACAGTGAGAATATGCAGCCTCATGAAACTTGCTGTCCATCTTTTTATGACCCTTTAAATTCCAACTGTGTCCTGAGTGGAAGGGTGTATTTCACCTGAGAACTGTTGAGAAATTAAAACAGTGTCTCTCTTCTTTAGGGACTCGGAAACATGCTTTTATGTCTTCACTTATTGATTACAGTAACTCTTTGTGTGGGAGTCAGTCAGTTGGCCTTGTCTCACCTGCAGCTTGTTCAGCATGCAACAGCGAGGCTACTCGAGAAGAAAGACCATCCCTCCCCCTGGTCTGGCCTCCGTTCATTGTCTTCCAATTAAATTAATCATTTTATTGGTTTTTAAAGCACTGCATAATTGGAGTACAATAATAGTACACAATAGTACACAATACATTTTGACCAATATTTCCAATCCAATCTAAACTCGGGGTGATTGAGCGTTTCCAATTTCTGACTGGGAAACAGTTTACGCCTTACTATTAAGTGTACTGTGCTCGTAGGCGCTTTTGAGTGTAAAAATTGGAGCACGTCACTTTCTGTCATTTTTATTTATATTCAAATTGTCTAAACGTTAGCACTTTGGTCAGCATTTGTCCTCTTTAGGGTCTGTACATAAAATATCTCCACTTGACGAAATATTGAATTAGTGGTTGGTACTGGTATGTTGCATACATACTGTACGGAGTTAGGAATCCTTGCTTAGATTAGCTGGCACTTCACCATTAGTGCATAATTAAACAAACAAACAAACAAACTGACTAACTATTTAATCATCCTGACAAAGGCAGTTCACGGCAGAAGTGACCATCCATGATCAGTGAATTAGTATGTATTGTACTGTATAATGTGACTTTTGAACTGTTTTTACTAGAGATTGGCCAGGTAGATCTCAGTCAAACATAACAGCAAGAGGACAGAGATAATATCCGTTATATGAGAATCTATAATGGTTTATGTGTATGGACATATATTTTCCTATCATACACAGGTCCTTTGGCTGCATTAGTTCATATCCAATTACTCTAAATATGGAAAATAGATGGCATTAAAATCAGATACCATCTTCTCTGTCACCGCAAAATGTTATGATAAAATCATCACGAATCATACAGATTGTATACTAATGAGTACAGCAGTGCAATGCTGGCAACGCAGACTCTTTAGCTTTTTGGCAACAGCAGAGCACCATGCCATAACATCACCCCCACATGAGTGCTCCAAATTGCCAAAATACTTTGGCCTGTATCATTGAGGCTGGTGAACTCTATTTTTTTCCTGTCAAATAAATAGCATCACTGAATTACAGGCAACAGTGGACGGATGCCAAGGATTGTATGTCAGGAATCTAACATGATGAATGTAATATCATTTCAATTCAAAGGAAGAGTGAAACTTGTGGAGGAAATAAAGCAGTTGTCTCATTTGTTTCTTGTCTGTCCCAGTTTTATTTCAGCTTGAACAAAGGCTTGTAATGCTGCCTTCCAAAATGAGATAAAGGGATGCAATATGAGAGACTTTTGAAGGAAATCAAATATATACTGCAATAAGAACACATCGTTTTTGCTAAATAAACTCATTAAATCCTGTGGACTTTTTTTTTCTTGACAAACCCTACACCAAACTAGTGCACACAAGCACAAGAAAGTGCAAAGAATCTGCGGATGTTAACAGAATCAGCATCCAAATGGAGGATAGACAGAGAGCAGCTGAGCTGCAGGCCACGGGGCCAATAAGAAGTAATGATACCTAATTAAATGGGACAGAGCATGTTCCCACGCTGGCTTGGCATGGTGGACTGTGGCGTAATACAGCACATGTCACGTGATTTGGCAAAATCACAAGCATGAGGTAATACACGTCATCCTGCTCCTGTCTATCAGTGAGTATTTGATTACATCTAATGCTGGACTGCATGTGTCTTGGCATCCTTAAGAGCAGTGGACAGTGCTGGTAATATGCCACGCCTCATTGGACTCAAGGTCCATCCATCTGCACCTGAAAAGCCATCATTGCACATAAACACACCAGGTACGAACAGCAAGAGATGGAGAGATGGAGAGGAGGGGGAAAAAAAGAGAGTGGGGATCGCGGAGGATTAGAAATGCAAGAAAATGAAGAATGAAAGAGCTTTGTGTGGAGGTGTGATAATCACTAGGCAGCAGATATGGAATTAGCTGGCTAGGCCATTCCATCACTCAGATGAGTGGTGGGCTTTACAACCAGCATTTCCAATTTGAATGGAGTTTAAGGAGACCTGCACACCGATTGGCTGAAGGTCTAACAACTCATTTTCTATGAGAAGCGCTGTGATGTACTGTGCGCACAGACTGAACCCATCCCACTCTCTCCTCCTCTGTGGCCACCACCCCAGTACAAACGCCAAAAGTCCCACATAATACAGAGCTCATGGTTTATGTATATTCTTAATCTTTAGAGCAGCTCTTAGTCATAATTATTATTTTTTTTTATACCTCTTATCTTCTCCTCGGAATATTAGGACAAGCAAAACAGCAGACCATCACAAGAGGATGCTGAACTGTTCAAAATACATGGCACTTCTCACGTTGCGCAACAGGTTTTACCCTTTGTTCTAATGAGGTAAAATGAAACCAAAGCCATATTTAGGTTGTAAGGGTTGCCAAGAAAAACATCAAAGTTTGGAAACCAATACAATATTATAAATGTTGAAACTCACAGCCTATTTATATATTCCTCATTTACTACGATAGCTACACGAAATGCGCGCGGACAGAAAGACACGGACACACTCCCTCACCTGATTACACTGGGGCAACGTAAAAGAGACACCTACCGGGAATAGCCAGGTTGGTGAGCGGAATAGTGTGCATGCTCTGCGGTAAACTTGCCATCCAGTCTGCAAAGCGCATGTCGCTTCTCCCGTGAGACGAAGCCATGCTGCCGCCGTGAACAACGCTCCGTTCTCCCGGTCCGGTGCCTGCGCCAACCTGGAGTGCTCTCTCTCTCTCTCTCTCTCTCTCTCTCTCTCTCTCTCTCTCTCTCACTGTCTGTCACACACATACATACACGCACGCGCACACACACGCACACACACACACACACACACACACACACCAGCGCGACAGAGAGACAGTCCACACACCCTTGAGCAGTACACATCGGCGGATGCCACAATTACGAAAATGGGGTTTGTTGGATCGATCCAAATATGGCAACAGCTTGTACGCAGCAATAACACTGTTACACGTTTCAGTTTTACAGTCACATAATCCGACAAAAACAGCAGCCCATTAATAATTCCAGTTGTCAGTGTTCTTTTCTCTAAACGATACTAGACCAAAATCCACGCATTTTCTTATACATGTTTTATCGCATGGCGGCAGAACACCAACCGGTGGCTGCATGTTAAACATAGTGGGACAATTAAGTTGTGCACTTGAATAGATTTTGAGCATTTCAAACACACACGAAATATTTTAATCTGATCATACAAGCCTATTAAGGAGCAGTGGTATTTGTTCTGGTATAATATGCAGGTATATCCTCAGTAGGACATTATTAGAGATGTCCATTATCTCATTACTTCTCTACAAAAATATATATATGTAAAGTACTGGCTGAAATTAATGTTAGCGCTAAATACTGGGATTGAAAGCGAATTCCCAATTGACCTAGAAGCACGTCTGAGGTCATGCACTTGGCTGACAAGAGAGTCATATGGCAGGGATTAATTATCACTGCAATTAATATGGCAGTGATAATGACTAACTGACATTCACTGTGTTGGCAATCAGCTGGCTGGCCAATTTATCGTGAGTCATTCAACAAACTGGGTCACAATGGTATAAAGTTGGAGAATCTACCAACAACTGCAGATTCTTTTTTATCATGTATACCCATGGGAGCCATTTCAAACCTGTGTCCCTCTACAGCCCTTCCAAGCAATGTTTTCCCACATGGTTTCTGCATTCATGTCTGAGGTGAGGTGACATATAGGAGGCAGGGTTGATCATTTGTAATTTGTAAATGTTTTTGCTGCACTGCTCATGTTCAAACATATTGGTTTGAGTAAAAGCCTTTCATGTTTCCCGTATTCCCTTTTCATAGCATTCCAGTACCCGCATGAGAAATAGGTTACTAAATGTAGGCTTACAGGGTACCACTCACGTTTGACTCATGAAGGGATGTTCTGGATTTACATTAACAGCCGGTGGCAAAAGCCGCTGTCACTTTCTTTAATTTTTCTGCTTGATGACCCAATCCAGTTGATCTTCTTGAACCCAAAAGCCCACTGGCTGAATTCCCCAGTTATGTAACAGCCCTCAGGTAATGGCAGCACCTCTCTTCTCGAGTGGAGAAATCACATCAAGAATGTCAATGCAAGCGCACCCTCCACATATAGAAAGCTCTAACCTGTGGAGTGTCAGAAGCCATCACTCTCAAAGCCATTTGCTTTCAATCATTGTGTGATTTGATGAATCATTTTAAGAAACAAGTCAACTGTTGGTATATTTTTAATACTTTTTAAATCAGAAATCAGAAGATTTAGAGAGAAGAAACAAAAAAAGCATTTTCTTTCTTTCACCCAGCAAACAAGGTTGTATTGGATTTTTATATACAAATGCAAGTGGAGAGCAAATCTAAGAAATACGAAGCTGAGAAACAAAAAGGGTTTTACATTGTGGCAATGATTATTGTTAAACATGTTTCAGTCGGATCCTTATTATTACATCTCACAAAATATATCTTACATTAGATGTATAATCCAAGGACATTTTTGTAATTTGGTGTATCACAACCTTTCCACAACTACAATACAAACATCTATGCTGAATGAAGAATCACCTCAACAGCACACATTTGTTTTCTAAATTCATCACATTTCAGCTCTCTACATCCCTTTTTGTTGATACACTTTAAATAGTATTATTAAATGATTGTATTATTTTTGTTCACAGTGCTAGTGACGTTGCATTCTTCTTACAGAACATTTGGAGAGTATTCCCTGTTTTCCACGACACTTTCATGTGGCTTATTTGGTAATAGCTGCACAAATATTAGTCAAAGATGCTTAACTTAACGGTGTAATAGGCAACAACGTAATGTTCCCCAACCGTTTGCCAGACCAGATCCTTAAAGAGAACCATGCATGTTGGCTCCTGTGGTTCCCAAGTTAATATTAGCGAGGACTACACCTTTCTGATATATTTGGATGCTGATTACCAGGGAACTGAACCAAACTGTTCTGTTAACAAGCATATTTGACCCGTCTCAGGCTGCTTAATCACCAGCTGTTTACCACAGAGAGAAAAAAATCGAGTGTCACACAAACCAAAAACACAGATCCATTGCCACCCCCTTTTAGATTTGCTGCATGGACCTCAGGTTGGGAGACACCTAGAAGACACCAGACAGATCACAAGGAAGTCAAGACATGTCTCATGGTTCTGAAGTTAGGAAATGAAATATAGCGCTGGCAGCCAAACTGTTAAGATACTTACTTCAAAATCGGTGCCAGTGCATGCTTTGATATCCTCAGGAGTGAGCCCCTCCCATACTTCTATCAGAGTCAGGCCTTTTGTCTTATCCACATCAAACACGGCCTGGCAAACACAAACGGGGCAGGAAAAGAGGAAGATGACATGTTTCGAGAAAAAGACGAGGGTGAAAGACAAAATGAAAGACAAAACAAAGACAAAATGGCGAGAATGAGCATTTCCTTAATAGATGGGTTTGAACCCCATGATGTGTGGTCCCCGGGGTCCCTGAGGAGGATGCGGGAGTCTCAATTATCAAAGTGATTCAAAAGAGATGACAACACCCTCCCGCACCACTTCAGTGTCATCCATAGACGACAAAATAGCTGCAATTATTGGTGAAATTGTAAGTGTGGTGAAAGTGGTGCTCAACTCCATGAGGTTGGACCACTACAACGTAAAGAGCAATTACATGTTAATTGTGGTAATACTTTTAACAGTTGAAACACAAAAAATAAATAAAAATCTGTTGGATTCACGAGTCCCTGATGAAATAGTCATAGGCATAGCTAACATCAAGAAAGAAGGGAGGGGACTCAATGTTAACTGAATTCAAGCCTAAACAACATTTCGTTGTCCTCAAAATATTTATACCTGTGATCACACTTCTACGACAACCAGGGAGTTGTGCATGTGTTTTGCGAGGAGTTTTCCTGAATATAGACAAATTCACAAGCAATTATTGATTAAGCCGATTCCAAGATGAGCTTGCACATGGTTTATGCACAAAACAGAGTGTGCACGATAAATAAATGAGGCTCCAGGAGAGTTCCACATCTCTAAGAGTAATGAAATGCTGTACATGGGTAAGGGCATCGCTCCTGTTGAAGAGACTGGGAGGTGGAAACCTTTAGCAAATTACCATTAACAATCCTCCCAAACCTGTCATTTACACTGAAGGCCAAAGTACCATAAATGCATCTAAAGAACAACTAAGTAATGTTCAGTCTGACACACTAATGCTTGTGAAGTACCTTCAGGGAGCAGACCTGTTATTACCTCTTTAAGCCTTCTTTTTGGAGCCAAAATAATAATTTGTATACATCAGAGTGACACTGTTTGTTCTGGCCAAAGTGTCTCGCCTCAAACACATTTTGTTTTTGGGTTCTTTTCTAACTTGGATTCATGTACGTGTATGGAATAATGATAGTCAACACTGTAACTTTATGTTACTACCTTTTTTTTTTTACATTCTCAATAGATATCCTAAAGATTGAGAAAGATTTTCAGCATAAAGATGACCGTTGATTTCTCAGGTACCTACTAACATTAAGTTGGATAACTGCCCAGCTTAAAGGAGCAGTGTGTAGGATTTAGTGGCATCTAGTGGTGAGGTTGCAGATTGCATCCGACTGAACACCCCTCCGCTCACCCCTCCTTTTCCAAGCGTGTTGGAGAACTACGGCGGCATTGAGGTTCTTCTCTAGGTGCTCTCTAGAGCCAGTGATTGGTTTGTCTGTTCTGGGCTACTGTAGAAACATGGCCGTGCAACATGGCCGACTCTGAAGAGAACTCAACGAGAAGGGCTCATTCAAAAGTAACGGAAACACAACAATTCTTTTTTTTGGGGGACTAATGAAAACATAGTTATGAATATTATATTCAATTTCTATAAATCTCCCATTAATCCTACATACTGTTCCTTTAAGATTGCCATGGATTTCTGTCAAGTGATAGCATCATCAGATTCAATTTGAAATAACTTAGACTGCTGCTTCTCAACACAAGGCTGACATGAAGTTAGGTAGGTTGTAATGATCGCCTTAGTCTATCTTTGTGTGCAGCAGTTGTGAATGGAGAATATGTTGGTGTTTATTTTCCTTAGCATATTTAAAGTACTGTACTTGTAAGTGTTATCAGTGGCCTGCAATGTTGACATAGGTTATGAATAGGGTCTTTTATTATTGTTACTATTATATTTATTTTTCTCGCTTGTATAAAATGGGACGGGGGGGGGGGGGACGTGAGAGGAGTATGGAGCAAGCAGACGGGAAGCAGGCGGCGTTTAGTGGGCTCAAAGAGTAGGATTACCAGGCAACTGTACAACAAAGGAGCAGAATCACACTTTGTGGATTAGAAATCGGAAAACTTCACTGGACCACTGCAAGAAAGACCCACCATCTAAACAGACTGTGGTGAGATAGCGTGAGTTCTACAGATTACGGAGCAGCTGCGTCTCGCCACGCTTCCACCTGTTATTGATATTGTTTTTGGCCCTGGGGATTTATTCATCATCGGACTATTTGAGTTGAATTAAGGAACTTTGGGACTGATGGGACACTGGGTTTGGGGTTATAATTTGTGAATGTTAAACTTGTTTATTGTGTCGGAGTACAAGTGCGAGCCTCACGGCTTATTGTTGGCTGTAATTCATGCCGACCAGGTCATCTAAATCTGGAGCCATATCATTATACCTACTGATGCAAAAAATACTCTCTGAGCTGAGCTGGGTCCTGTTGCTTCCCTCAGCAGGGACTGACGGACTAAGCCACAGACACATCCAGGCAAAGGCTGTCAGGACTTTCAGCTCATTAGAACCACACACACACACACACACAGAGATTGACAAGGCAGGAGGCAGATATCTCACTCCAATATAGCAAGACAGATGGAATGTCACAAGGGTCTATGGTTAACACAGGCACTGACATGCATCTCTAATCGTCACACGTTTCTCAAGTGATTAAGGAAAATTAAAGATGTCCCAGAGGTGCTGGATATAGGAAGAGCAACAGTGTGCTGACACGGCAGGTGCTATGTAATCAATGTGTCCTCACAGTTTAAAATATACAGGATCAGGACACAAAAGGAGCTGGGGGAGTAAGTCATAAAGTGACGAACCATCGACTGACCTAGTTTCTGGTGGCCACACTTTTTCTACTGACCAAAAAACGTGCCTCCATACGCAAAGCAGCCTTTTTGTTGTGAAACTGTTGAGTCACCTTTCTTCACAGTCTTCAGAGTCACCACCATCATTAACAAGATTGATGCAAGTTAGTCATTAAGAAGCTGCTACTCTAACCCATGTGTCGTCTGGCGAGAAGTGGGCTGCATGTCATGGAACAACAATAAGCCAACATCATTCAGCCCACCTCACGCTCTAGACAAATGTGAACGTTACAAAGAGATGGGAGTAAAAATTTACATTTTACCCTCCAACAAATAAGACTTCAACAGCTCATCCAGTGTCCTGTCAATGCAACACAGCAATTACAAGGAGCAGCTTTTGAGATGTGTTCAGACAAAAACAATAAAATCATTTTAATTTGGTTCCTGGAGTAAATAATTGCTGTCATTGGGCTCTGCCGTCATCGCGGAAAACGCCACAGGTAACACATTTCTTGGCCCATTATGATGACTGAATAATTCAGGAGTTGTTCTGCTTCATCTGTGAATGAGTGGGCAATTGTTTTTTTTGTATTTAAAACAGGAGATAATTCCCTAAATAACTGTTGAGGCGAGAAAGTACTGAGAAACTTAGCAAAAAAAAACAAACATCGGAGCCACGGAAGTGATGCGATTCACTCACCGCACATGTGATAAACACAAAATTGATCATTTCAATGACGATGCCGCAAGCGAGCCCGCTTGTGAACAGGGGAACTGTGGCTAAGAGAAAAGGAAGGGCAACATTGTGTATAAAAAAAGGTCCAAACCATATCGAGAGGCAGCAGAGACTCTGCCTGAGGCAACAGGTTTCCCATCACCCTGGGACTCGAATCGCAACACTATTTAGGACGACGCTCGAATTACCATCCCTTCTGGCCATCGAGAGCCAAGGCGGATGCCGTGTTTGTGAGAATATATATTGTGTGTTAGCATCTGTGCACGAGTCTTGAGTGGAGGGAGCAGAATATTTTTTGGCAGGTTTGGCAGCCCCCAGTTTCTGTTGTCATTTTAAAGACAAATTGCAGCAGGGATTTTATTTATGCGAAATAGCAAACAGTAAAAAAAAATAAATACATTTAGAATAACCATTATCAGGCTTATTAAAAGCATTGTTCGCCACCTGGTTTATAGTCTCTCATGTTTTACCACTGGGAGTTTTCCCACAAGTCATTTTATAAACAGCGTTTTGGGCTAATAAAAGAAGAAAAAGCTCAAACGTGAGGCTGGTGTGCTGTTGTATTCTATTCATCTCACCATAAGTTTATAAATAACACGCTTCCACTTGACTTCAGACATAAAGCCCTAATTGGTTTTATGTCACCATCTTTAATAAGTTTTTAGTTTACCACCACATCCTGTGAGATTAATAACAATTGTGCGTAATACAAAAGTGCCGGCAATATCCTCACTGAGGTTTCAGCATGGGGACTTATTTATTTTCAAATGGTTAGTTTTATTGATCAGCTTTTACTGGCAATCACAGATAATTGTTCTCCCCTTCCTTATTGTCATGGAGATACATGTAGCAGAGGAGACTACTGTTCCACTTTCAGATGTATCACTTGCTAAACGCTCCTGCAAGGGATTTCAAATATCTGTCACAAGTTGAATCCCACTGGCAATATGGGAGGAAACCATTTCCTCTCATAAAACTGATGCGTGTCTGTTTTTCCAAGCGTAAAAGAAAGTTTGAAGGCCGATGCTTTTCCTTCACGTTTCACCTCGCTTTATGGATATCACCGGAAAAAAAGGGGGTAGACTAAACATGTGTAAACGTTTAAATACCTTACAGGATCTACAAACATTCTATAAACTATAATCAAATTGCTATGAACTAAGCGTAATAAATGGAGTGTGTTAATGTCCAAATCTCTCTTGGGTTCTCTCAGGTGCACAGAGCATAAAGACACTGACCATCCCTCTAGATGAGGACAACACACAGTTGTTTCAATAGATAAATGCTCTGAACAGCACTGGGCTGTGCACCAAACTCATTATTATTCAACAGGTAAGGTTGAATAATGCTCTCCGTTTTGGAGTAATTTAAAACACTCTCATGTGTCATAGTCAGAGCTTTCGGCGTAGCCTTTTGACATCCCTGCCTGCTGTCATTGCAGTGAAAAACAACTCGAACACTAAGGTTCCTGAAAGAGAAGAAGGAAATATAGTTGGTTCACGGTTACAGCTACTGGACGGCCCCCTGCGGTTAAATCATAGTGTGCACGTTGTGTATTCGTCAACCTATTCCAACAAAATAACACGTAACATACACATACTTTACATGAGGTCTAGAGGGTTCTTATATTGTCTCAAACTCACAGCAGTCTAGCTACAGTGTGTTTCTCATACATCGTGTGTGAGCCCCCGCAAATAAGAAACACTCGTTTTGGCAAACTTCACTCAGACACAATATTAGAGGGAAGAAGCTTTAAGAAAGGAGGCCTGAGAAAAATATAGAACAGGTGTTTGTGATAAGCAAAAATTGGCTTTGCTAAATTACAGTCAGAACTGAAACCATGTTCACACCATGTCTGACTAAATGGATGTGGATTCAAACTTCACATTTTCTTCACCCGAATATGTGTAATTTTCTTCACATTGCAACAGATGTGACATTAGAAGGATAGAGGGTAGAATAGAGGAGGATGGTTATGATAAGCAGTAAGCATGTGTTGAAAGAGATGGCAGGGAATGAGAATAGAATAATGAAAATTTGAGTCATTACCAAGAAAGCAAAAAGCTGGGGACGCAATAAGAGGAGAGAGTACTAATGGATGTAGAGGGAGTGAAAACAGCAGGAGATGAAATGAGGAAGGTGAAGAGGAGGAGGAGGTACAAGTGCTAGTAGGGCAGTAGATAGAGCTTTAACCTTTGTAAATATTGACAGAGATCTGCTCGCTGAGAAATGTTGCGCAATCACAACAAAAGCCAGCCGAGCAGGAGCGAACAGATGGGGTGGAAAAACAAGAGCCATGGACATGCTGTCTGACTTTGCCCCCGACGGGTCATGTTTTAAATGAGCGAGTTCCAAAGGCAGTGAACACCAGAGGGTTGCAGGGAACTGACTAAAGTACAACATGACTGCATCAGCACTAAGCTCTACTAGCTATTGAAACCTCTCTCTAGACCATTTTTCTTTCTAACCTCACCCACACATTTCTTTTCTCCCAAATCAGCATTTATGCCTCCTCCATCCTACTTCCTCCATTCTCACTAACTGCCATCAACCCCCCCCCATCTTAACTGCTCTTAATTTTCTTCCAATCTTGTACTTTAGCTTACTGCTTCTTTCCCCTTCAACAGACAATTCCACCCTTGGGCCATCACAAGCACTATTCTGACAAGATAAGCGTTACCAAGTAACTTGAATGCTGGCCATTACAACTGGATGGGAGTGACACAAATATATTCAAATAATGTTCATGGCCCCCCCTCCCCATATGTGCTACCAAGTATGACAACATATTGCTGTAAATGGCTGTATCCAAATGTTTTCACCGTCTTCCGTCACAGCACGCAGAACACAAACTGTGGGGAGCTGATGAAATTTAAAAACAGAGCAGAAAGAGAGCGCTTCACATACAAATGAAGACGATGGAGATTTGTCTTTAGGCTAAGCTCTCCATAAGCTTTCCAAGGGAGACCGAGCAGTGAGATTCCCCAGAGTACACCCAGTGGTCCAACTTTTTAAAAAATGTGAACCACCAGCCCCACCTGCCACACCAAACATCTTGGGTCAACCGAGACTACCCAACCATATCCAGAACCCCAGGATCAATCTTTTCCACCCGTGCCACTGTGGAGCTTCTTTACTACCTGAATGATCCCCTCCACAGAGGGCAGGTGGGTTGCCTTCGGGGTTTTCTCAAAAATATCAAAAATAAAAAAAAGAGAGAGTCCAAAACATATAAAGCTGCAGATCAGCTACGACTACACTTATTGCAGTAGCATCAACAGCATTAGAAGCCGGGCCCTGAGGCAGGGATGGGAGTCTCAACCGAATGCATAATTAAGGGAAACCCAACCCTAGCCATGAAAGTGAACAAACCATAACAAAATCAATAAGAAGTCTCCTTCCCCAAATCCACTGATTGAATTAATGTTAACTGAATAAATGTAATTTCCATCTACTTGTGTCACTCTGTTGCATCACAACAAGCTCTCAGTGGCAGTGTGATTGTTTTCGTACGTGTTCGTGTGTGAGGGAGATGTAATTGAGAGGTAAAGATACAATGTGTGTCTTGTGTTGCGTTGCATTCAAAGTCTCTGTGTGTGTGTGTTGCTTATTGCCGACATATTCAGGGGACGGATTGGCTGCGATAGGAACGCAAACCCGCTAACTGGGTTTATCTTATTCGATTTTGGTTTCACTTAATCACTCATGATTGCAAGGTGGGAAATTGTTATACTTAGGTGAACTGCCAGGTCTCGAATGAAAACAAATGGACCAATATTTTTTAATTCATATTAAATAAACAAACAACCAAAAAAACAACTTAGACTGGTGGTAGAGGGAGGAACCTGCAATGTCGGCCACAGGTTAAAGGCTTAGTATCTGTAGTGGCGAGATCAAGTGTGTATTCAGTGTATTCATGTTCTACAAGAACATTGCTGCTTAACACAGAATTAACTGAGTAAAATATGTCCCAGAAATGTTAATATAAATAAACTACTTGCACAAACTTCTCTTATGCCCCCCCGAATCCAAGTCTTTTACAGGCCACATGTACTGCACATGCATGAATGGAATTTATAAATTTATATTTATGAATAAAGGATTTTGACAACATCATCAAATTGATCATGAAATAAAATATTTGTCACATTTCTTTTTTTTTTTAAAGAAACCAAAGAGCACATTTTTCCATATTCATGTGTTTGAATTATATATTCAATGACAAATCTGCAAAGATCTAACACAAATTTGTTGGTGTGAGAACAATCCCAAAATATTTCTGTTTCTGAATATTCATCACAGAAAGAGAAGCTTGTGTTTATGTCAATTTTAAATTTCTGCATGTAGTGATTGGCAGGGTAATATTTATGGATCATTTTGAGGTACTTCCTCAACCTTATTCAAAATGAGAAACAGTTTCTTTCTACCGGGGAGTCAGCTGGGATTATCTCTACCTTCTTATGTTCAAGGAAAAATGAAGCAGTTAAACAAATCTGATGCAAGATTTCTTAAAAACAATCATTACAGGCTCCAGATGGGAAAGAACCTGGTGTGTGTGCAATGTATCACTAGAAGCATGTCATATGAATGAGTGGGGTCGCTGCCCCCAGTATGTTACAACAGAACCATCCTCCATGACGTGCAGCCTGTGCAGTGGTTCCTTGCCCAGTCCCTGGTGCAGTAATGACCCGCCCTGCTCTGACTCTGATCGGCTCGCCCTGATATTCTTACTCTAACCCTAACCAATGCAACCAACGAAGGCAACGAGTGCTAGCCAATCAGAGGCAGAGTAGGGCAGGTCATCGCTTCACCAAAACAGGATTCAGAATTTAGCCTCTGGAACATGCATTCTAGCACCAACCTTAACTAAATGATTAAGTCCTGTAGAGGCAGGTCATATCTTTGCCAGAAGGACGGGTTATATTGCATCCCAGGTGAGCCACTAGTCCTAATCCAGTCTCGAGTTAGTTTACAGTTATTTAGGGCTGCTACAACAAGCTAACTGTTGCATTGTCTAACGCTAGTAGCTTGCTACTGTTCGATACAAAAAGGGAAACAGAAATCTGAAAAAAGTAAATTTGGGCTTTGTTGAAAACGCCTAAATGGAATGTGTTTAAAACGTAATATTTTTTCTAATATTCTACAGTCTTTATCTATTGATTTACTTTCAGTTTGTCACACTCATGTATGTACATATTTGGAAATCATCATTGGACCAATGCAGTGTCGATATTGCATTCTGGTTGTTGACTGGCAATAAGCCGAGCTAGGACGTCCTCCCCTGGGTTGTTGTACGTGTAACCCAGCAGGTGCTGCTGTTGGAGGATTTTAATCTGAATTTCAATAACATTGTTATTTTCCAAAGAAGAGAGAAAAAATATTTTATAAATGATGTTGAGATTCGGTAATGGTTTGAGTCAACCAATTTCTCTTTTGTATATTTTGATCTCCCTCTTCCCTCTCAAAAATATAGGAGCAGCAACCTCCTCTGTCTCTATGGACCTGTATCGAAATGATTTAAATATAAATACATTTAATATATATATATAAATATATATATATTAAACATACAAATAAACTCACCTTCTCTGTGATGATTCGATCCACACACTGCTTTCCAGTTAAAGGCAGGTTGCATTTGTCCAATATTTTGTGTTTTCCTCCCTGAAAGACAAAGGGTAGTTGATAAAAAAAAAAAACTTAATTAGAGGTCAGCCACCTTTGTTCTGTGTTAATACTTCCAGGGATGCAGCTTCAGTTTCAATATATCCAGGGATGGAGCTAATTATGTACACTCATCCTATCCCCAAAGGATATACAGCACATCGATCAAGATGGCTGCCTCGGTGGTTGGTGCGCATTGTTTTGTATTCAGACAAGTTCTTACCGTTACACACCCTTGCACATCTTTTCTCTTTTAATATCCACATGACACTTTAACAATATACTTGATTTAACAGACTCTTTGTTTGTTTATCATATTTTATTGTAACTTTTCTATTTTTAAATGACGTCATACTATTGCATGTATGTTGCGTGTTTTACTCTTATGCCGTGTTCACACCAAACGCGGCGCAAATTCATCGCGCCGCATATTCGTGTCAATCGCGCCTCGCCGGGGACCATTTGTGTACATCGCGCTGGACGCGCCGGAGAGGGGGCGTGGCTTATCGCCCTGAAAGCTGTTCAACTGTCCGCCATTAACCATGAAAAAAATAACCTCTATTTCTGCTTAGTACGTGTTGTGGAAGTCACAGATATCCCGGGAAACTAAACGCCGTCATGTCTGGTTCATAATATTGTCCAGAGGACCTCTGTGGATTTTATCGAAGTGTATTCACTGTGTCTAGCAAGCCACACATCGCTGTTTACTACAGCTGTATGAACACAAAATAAACTGATTTGGCTGTGATTTAACGGCAATGAACAGACAAAAAGGGACTCCGAAATAACTACGTAATGATGCCGATTTGTAGGCTACTTTTCTTCTCAATGGAGCTCGGATGGATCGGTGCTAGGCTAAGCTAACATTGTAGCAGCTCCACCAACACTCAGACTAACGTCATGTAGACGTAAATACGGCAGCGTCTATTCATTGTTTGTACCATGTGGTTTATACACACACATTTATACACATAGTTTGGTCCGGTCTCTATTGATATGAGGTATCGTAGAGCTCTGGGTGAACACAGACGGATACAGTATTTATTTCCTGATTCAACAACGGCAGGAAGTCGGTGATGACAGGGGAAGCAACTCAACGCTGATAGGCTATCGCGCCGGGGCGTAACGCGAATATTTCGCTGAAGTTGAAAAATTTCAACTCACGCGTTTGGGGCGAACTCGCGTCGCAAATTCGCTCCGCGCCAGTCTCATCGCGTCTGTGCATAGACTTTGTATGTAATCTACTCGCGCGAATAATTCGCGCCGCGTTTGGTGTGAACGCAGCATTACGCACCAAATCACCTCGCCAAAATCCTTGTATGTGTAACGTACTTGGCAATAAACATATTCATATGAGGCTGTCTCAGTTTCCACAACAGTCTCCTTGAAGAAAAGGCACTCATCAAAATGTCTCTGACGCTTCCTGAGAAGCACACATCATACATCAAACCCCCCCTCCCTCCTCCCCCACATAATGAATGAGAGCAGACTTCAGGGCAGTAAATTTATGCTCACCTGCTGCACCATCTGGAATAAAGCTGGGCGCCAGACAGGCTCCCATTAGCAAAAAACAGCATGCTACTCTGAATGCAGAATGTTACGTTGAACTTGCATCATAGCGGTTCAGACTTTCGAAAAAGTAAACCAATTTAGTTGGAGTGCCTACTGCTTTTGTCGAAGACCCTGTGGGGTTACTCATCCCTTCCTACAGAACTAATCAGCTGTTCCCAATACGCCGACTCTAATTCTAGACTTCTATTCAAATTAGCCGAAGACGAACCAACAGGTTATGGTTTGTGTGCAAAATGTCATCAGGATGAGCTGGCGCTCTCTGTTCAAGAGGCATTAAGCAATCCATTAACGGAATTATCTCTAATCAGTCATAACACTCATTACCGTAGGAAGCAGAGACAAGGTGCGCTGGTGGGTTGTACCAACATGGGAGAAGAAAATTGCAAATTTAATTGGACCTGGACCCTCGGGGAAGGAAATTAGTCAAGCAACGCTGGTTAGAACAAGCATGGTAAAAGCTCACACACACACACACACACACACACACACACACACACACACACCTTAGCCGAGTGCTCCATTGTGACCACCACCTTGGTTCCAGCGCTAGCCACCAAATCCATGGCTCCTCCCATTCCCTTCACCATCTTACCCTAAGAATGGAAGATAAAAGAGGATTACGGTTTCAGCTTCATTTCTTTTGAGAGGACAAAACAACATAAACACCTTACAATACAACACACTGGAATCTTAAACAGCCAATAACCATGGCCTTAAACATTACCATGACGTTAAATGAAGAAAAAATAGAACAAAACAACAATAAACAAAGGCATTCATTTCGAAGGGTGGAAAGAAATGAAAGCAATACGTTTTCTCTTTCAGTGCCCCGTTTCCAGTAGATAGCTCTCCCCAAAACAACACCCCTCCATCAAAAATACATAACAGTTTACAAAGCCGATATGTGGCTCTGTGCCTTCAAAGCGTGGATATCTTCTAATGCTCTGTGCCTGGTAAAAAATAATATCATCCCTGCACTAGTAAGACCCCGAAAAACTTCACAGACTGAGACAGAGTAGAAAGACTTCAGAATGGATCTTCAGCATCGAACTATGAAGCAAGGAATCTCGGTAGGTGTGCATGCCCTTCGCATATCTCGAGAAACAATGATCTACTTCACGGTTGGCGGATGTATTGCTGTTCACGTTCAATATTAATATGTTTTGATTAACAAGCAATAGCCCCCTGTATGGCAGTGGGGGCGGGGCTTAAGGGCTCTGCGGCCTTTACAGGCTGAGGCTTATTGACTGCAGTTCACGTTTACTGCTGGATGCTAGTCATACGACTGAAGAAAGTAGCTCCAATGAAAACTGTCCCAACGTGCTCTGTGAATTATACTGAGTGGCGGTGAGGCAGTCACTGGAAATACTTTATTTAGTTTTTTTTAATGCAGTGAGCATCATAAACTCAGTAGACTGCAGATCTCCGCCAGGTGCGTCTGCAACGAGCACTGCTGTAATGATGCAAATATATCAGACAATGTCTGCATCTGCGTTGTGCTTGCGTGTCTCCGTTTCAAGGATAGAACTGCATCGCGATGAGATTATTTAGGCTTCAAGTCTACAATATGTGAGTAAAGATGAGGTTGATGCCCAATAAAAAGGCATGGAATAACTGTCTCTGGCCGCTGAGCAGCGGCTGTTTGGCGTCGATGCAGTCAGCAGTGTGTGTGTGGTTCCATTAGCTGTTAGCTGATAGCCAAACACACCGTCTAAAACAATACAATCGAGCAAACTGTTTTATCCCCACTGTGTCTCACTACGGGGGTCAGTTAGGAGTAGTGAGTGATGAGGCAGCAGTCAGCATTCAATCAATGGCAGTGTCCAACAGGCAATAAAAGGTGTTTTGAGAAAGTGTGAATCACTCCAACCACGAGAGGTCTTTGGGCATGCAGCCAGAAACGAGCCTCCAAAATATGCAGTTTGGTGCATCACTATGTAAGACTAGCCGTGGACGGACACAAAGACGCACACAACTGCACACTAATTCACTCACACAAGCACTGATTCACTCATGACCGATCTCATTATCTCCTGGCGGAGTAAAAAATAACATTCACCATCTTTGTATTGGGACAGCAGCAGAAATGTCTGAAATGGCCGATATCTGAAAAGCTGAACAAATAAAACCAAAGCCATCTGCATGAATAGACACCACTGGCAGTGAGTTTTGTAATTGGGTGAACCAAACCTTTACTTGTAGGAGCAATGTGATCAATACTGGATCTTGGTACAATTTGATCAGCAGCATCTTGAGCGTGTATTTAATGGTCAAAGGTATTAATGGCCGCACTAAGATGCAGCAGCAACAGGACTCCAGTATTGGGCGTTTCTAATTAAAGGCGTTCACAGCAGCATTTTTTATTTTATTTTTGGCTGGGAGTAACTCTTGACCACGGTTTCTTGTACAGATCACAATCGTAACAATCAACAAATATCCAGAGACCACCATCTCATTTTTAGGCAGAAAAAAATGAAGAAATGCGATCAAAGCAATGCGCAAGCAGCAAAGCATCTGCATTGAAGCAACCTTTAGGAGGCATCCCTTTCAATACAACAGACATGTTCCCTTTTTCATCATTTTTTTAATGAGTTGCTTAGATAATATGGTTAAACTACGGGCTTTAATCCATGTCTGAATGCTCATATGTGCACGAAATGTTTTGCCTTGTTACAATTCAGCGAAATTAAATCAAATTTAAAATAAAAAATAAAAATGTAAGATTAAAATCACAGTCCGTGAGTCAAGAAAGTACTCCAAAAAAAAGCAATCTGAAAGATCATCACAGCAACAGAATTGCCAGCCGGGTGAAAAATTGTCTTCTAGTCCCTCGTTGTGTTCAATACAGAGGGGTTCCAAATAAGGACGGCTGACATGCAGATATGGCCACAGGGTGACGGCTGAGTAACGGAATTAAAATCCCATTTGCGCATCAATCATGTGAAGAGCCTGCTTTGCTCTCTGCTCGATAACCAGCGGATATATATATATATATATATATATTTATATATATGGTAGGGATGCTGTCTGCCTCCAGGGAGGCCAGCTGGGTGGCAAAGATATCAACAGAGAGCGGAAGGAGGGTTGGGAGAGGGCAGGAGGCGGGCAGGACGTAGGGAAAAGCATAGATTAAAGATATGGGAGAGGCTGCATTTTAATTTCATATACTTTACGGTATTATCTTATAGAACACCAACGGAAAGTGGCTTAACGTAACATCCTTAAATACAAACCACAACATCTATGTGATTAAAATAGGATCCATTTTGACTTTTAACCTTCAAACACACCCATTTAACACGCAGTGCCTCTTCAGATGATACTCCAAAAGGAAACGGTGTCCTTTTTCATATGATCAATGTTAATGCACTTTCTGACAGTCAAAGGGTTAGGTGATGTGTGCAGAGGCCCCCGGGGGATAATAACCTGATGGTAGCAAGTCTGGATTTACAGCTGCTAATGTACTCCACCCAGCAACTTAACTGCAATTTATCAAAGTCGGCATCTGCTTTTAAGAATACACGTCTGTGACGAAATACTAATCAGGGTATGATCAATAAAAAAAAAAAAAAAAAAAAAAAAAAAGAATAAAAACAAAAATGAGCATTTGAAGGAAATGACTAAATGCTTTGCTGTGGAGGCAATCAAATGTCTCCTGGAACCAGTTTCCTATAAAAACAAATTGGTTGCGTCTTTCTGGCAACTGAAAATGCAGACATCAAGTGACTGGGATTGTTGTGGGCCATTCACTTTTGAATGAATGCAAGCTTTGAAATGATATGATGCAGCCACAGTGCCTGTGTTGCAACGCAGTGACGGCATCCAAGCATGCAGGAACAACACTCAGCTGATGTGTGTGTGTGTGTGTGTGGTCAAATGTCTCTCTAATGCTTATGAACTTGGTATATAGAAAACACTATGAGAAAATCACACTGCTCACCGAGTATTGTCCATGACCTATATTGATGGGAGGATTGGCATTCGCTGCCTCTGATTAACGGCTTTGCATGTGGTTACCCAAGGCCGCTTTGATCTGACCCGTTCCATGCAGCAAAACAAAATGTATGAAATGGTGCGATGGGATGAGCTAATAACCCATTTCATTCTGCTCAAAGAAGTGATTTTATTCAATGAAATCAAGCCTTCGAAGAAAACTAGGTGATCTATTGGCAGAAATGGAATATATATATATATATAGAAGTATGTTTTCTTTAGTGTATCTGTTGAGTTTTTCTTTCAGAATTTAAAAAAATGAAGCTATATGGAGACTCTTAGGACACTTAAAGGCCAGCAGAACATGCAAGAAGGCACTAAAACGGAATGAAAAGATTGTTAGTGTAATATCCAGAGAAAGAAATATCCTCTGTCTTAGTCGCCTGGATAATTTAGCTATTTAATTAGCGCAACTTTGATGACATTAACCTTGCTGGCCCACAGGTGTTTAATTTCCTCACCACTCTGATTGCGTCCATTTGACTGCTGTAATCTTAGCACCATGGGGTGAAGATGCCCTTCTAAACTTTAGGGATAGGGTTAGGGTTTCTTTTCATGTATTTTAAACAGACAGTAGTGCAAGTGTCAAAGATAGACAAAATCCTCTTGCTAGAGATTGAGCATTTTGCCCATTGGCAACTTTGGAAAACAATTTCATTATAGAAATAGGGAACATTTGAAACACTTCTGTATTACACTGTACAAACACTGAAACAACCCTGAACAAACACTGAACAAACGCTGAAAACTGAAAAGCATGTGTCATCCTCTTTGTTTACCAGTTGTTGTTTTTTAAAGCCTGTGGGCTTCCTTTGTTGATCCCTTGTTTTAATGTCACAATGCTATGAATTGTGGGTAATTTCCTCTGGCAAAATGCGGGCTTATGCACAAAGTGTGCATTAAGGGAGCCCTCAAGCACTTGACAATTTGATAGTGTGACACCACAAAGCCTCCGCGGGAACAAGTCTCACAGTCTGTTTGTCTTCGAGTGTGGACTGTGGACATTGGGATCAGGTTTTTGTGCTTACCTCAACACAGGTTGCAAACAGTACACGACTTAATGTTTCCGGGCGGATCTCGCTCTTGTGAGCTTTGGTTCTGCACCGTACCGTGACCCCCTGACCCTGACCCCTGCACCGTGATAATTCGGCACAAATACACAAACTGTATTTTCACCCTTTGCTGAAATGCAATCATAGGGAGAAATTCAGTTCAGGGAAAATTATTGCATAACATATTGCAGAAGACCTAATTCTGTTCAAAATGTGCCGTTTCATGAGGTATGAGAATGTTACTTTTGCAGTTCTGGCTTTTTGAACTCTCTTTGAAATGAATCCTTGCCAGTGGCGGATATACAGTATCCTGAACATATGCCAACTAAATGTGCGTTGGAGAACATCCATTCATATAATGGCTTTAAAAGTGTAAGATAATGTGGGGGGCCGCAAAAGTCAGTGTCAGTGGTGCAGAACCCAGATAAGACACTATTAAAAAAAGACACAAGCACACGCGACTTATTTCACACCTGATGCAAACAGTCAATCAAATATAAAATATTAGTAAGGAAATACAATGTATATCAAATATATGCAACAATAGTATATCAAGGCTACATACTGTATATGATATGTAAAAAGTACAAAGAGGTACTTAAAGATGACGATGGTATATACGTACGTACAGAAACATACCAGTAAAAAATGTACCCTCATAATAAAGTACTCAGTCTTACTAAATGTACTGACACACTCACAATATACCACTCCTGTTGCAAATACACATAAGGACATGCATTAAGCATGTACACGATGCAGAACCCAGATAACACAATACTCAAGTTAAAGCTCTCCTAAGATGACACTTATTATAACATGCAAGAGCAGAGACGTTGACAGATTCAGTCCCACTCAGCACAACAAGGCTTTCTCAGTGAGCCATCGATGGCATACAACTATAAGGCTATTCATAGATAAAAGGCCGACACAGCATTTTACAAGACTAAAGCATGGAAGGTGATGAAAGTGCAATAAAATGCTTCCTTACTGTGAATTCCTGTGCACACAACATCTATCCACGAATGCGGGGCAACAGGCGATTCAGAGTCTGGCCTTCTTTTTCAAAGCGACCGCTGCATGCAGAAGTGCCTACACACTGTACTCTGAGAGGGAACATTCAGAAAACTAACACTGTGTTGCCTTTTCATCCGTTATCAGTCAAAAGGATTGACTAAAAAGCAAACCGCTTTTATTGGATTGGTGTTCCAAAATATGAATGCAAAAAGCATCAAGGGACACATACTTTGACTAGCGCTGTGTTAGTCGTGGTAGGCTCAGGGGGCTTTGCTTGCATGTTTTTAGTTTGTTACCATGACAACAGAATATGATTTCCTCATTTGTTTAGCAAGTGTTCACCGTGACAGCGGCAGAAACAACACGGAAAGTGACCCCCTTCACAATCCAAAAGTTCCCACTTTACCAGCGGGCTTCATTTCTCTCGCTCACAAATTCTGTGAGGATCTCCTCAGTCTGACACAAGCGGCTCTTTATTTAACAACATAGCGACGGACCGTCGCAAGCCTTCGTTACCCAGACAACTAATGACAAGAATCAGAGGGGGAGACAACGGACAACACGTACAAAGGAACTGGAATACATAACATTTTACAGTGTTCGACCGGTGAACATAGCGGTAATCTACACCGGTCACGCACATGGGAACGTGACACTGAGAGCTTTGTGTGTCACTGATGACAAACTGGCAACCAGTCCAGGGAAAGCTGTTTATGATACAGCAGGAAAACGTGCGACGTTCCAAGTGAAATATTCTTAAGCAGCTCCTTCATTAAAGCTGGCATCAGGCCCTATCATGAGCACAGAGTACATTTTAATAGTCAGTAGCTCGAGCTATCGTAGCACTTAAGCTGCAGTTATACTGAGCCTCCGGAGTTTTGGAATATATTTCTGATGTAGCGCACGTTTGTCTGTTAAAAGGTCCATGACTGTCATACTGAATTCTACTTATGTTTAATTGTATTGCTTTGGTCCATTTGAATATGTTCACTTTTGCTTCATTTACCGCTCAGATTTGAAGGTGCAAGTGAAAACTAAAGTAGCACTGTTCAGGCAGCCCAAATCGATAAAAGTCAAGTTTTAAAAACAGCGTGTGGCTGACTGTTAGAAATTTGTGAGGAGGTACTCACAGAAGATACCCGCGTCTACATTTAGGACAGCTTCATGAAGCTCCAGCAGCTAAATGATATAACAGCAGCACACCAAAGCCAAAATGCCATCCTTTATTCTAATGCCGCTTTCTCTCCATCAATTGTTTTTCCAGATGTTTTGGACTGATTGGAGATGTAAATGCATTTCAAAGCCCTCAACTGGAAAATATTCATCTACATTTTGCATATTTGAAGCAATCAAAATCAACATAATCGTACTGCATCCACCACTCCTACGTAAATCATTTCCAATTTCACGCCGTGTACCCATCTTAGGTAGTGAATAATTTTCATTATCCTAGAAGGTGGGAAATGTAATTCTCCTCATCAATCCTTTTGAAAAAATGGGCGATAATGAAGACTGAATGTGGAGGTGAGGACAGAGCGGTATTTCTGTCTGTGCTGCTGCATCATTTTGCTGTTCGAACTGTCTATCACTAGAATGGCCAAAGAAGATAAACCCCCTGCTTCTGAGCAACAGCTCCGCTGCAGGCCTTCAATATCTGCACAACATGTTTAATCAAGCACCGGTTAATTAGCAATTACCACGGACAAACAAGTACAACTGGAGAGGTAAAGAGAAAATTAATTACATCGCAAAAATGTAGAGGTCACCAGCGACAGCGACAGCTCTGTGCACAGAGCTTCCTTACGCAACTCGTGCGTTTTATTCTCAAGGTCTCTGCATGTAAACATCTGCTTAGAGGAGACGCATCTATAAAACGATTCGCTGGCTGAAGCAACCTTGCAAGTACACTTAAGTCAAGCAGAAAGCAGATGTGTGCCAGGGGGGCATTTCTTGGTTGAGCCCTTCGGCGATGTGAACAGTCTTGTAATGGGTTTGTGACCTTGTGAAATGTCTAGCAATAATGTCTGCCAGCCATTACACTGTAACGCTACCAAACAAGCCCTACTCCTCGACCCCCCCCTGCCCCCGCCCTCTGCAAAAAAGTCAAAAGAAAAAGGCTATTAAATGCTTCATAAAGCAGCATTTGTATCATGCCTATTGCACTGATGTTGGTGGGTTAACCCCCAGCAGCTGGAGCAGAAAGCGCGAGTTTGTAAAAGAAAAGATGGACGTGTGTCATAAGAAAACTAACTTACTGGGATCATCCAGTTGGCCAGGTCTCCATGTTTGGACACCTGCATGGCTCCCAACATTGTCAGGTTGATGTGACCGCTAAAGAGAATGACACAGAAGAAGAAGACAGCTGTCAACTTTAGAATCAGTTCTTAGCTCATCAACTCACTCATCCAAGTCCACTCATCAGAAAATGCATACAGTTACAGTCACATTTCCGCCAGTTTACTTGTGACAAGACACACAATACAAACACAAATAATTGATAATTGATGGTAGTATAGATTCTCACAACAACAAACAAATGTCTTCACAATAAAAAACATCTTTCCATCTCTGCTGTTTTCTTGATAGCAGAACTTGTCATAAGTAAAAAGCTGGTGAGACGGTTTTATTCTCATCTCCCTTTAAACTCCTCTCTTCTTAGCACCTTTACTTCCTTTCCTCCTGAATAATGAGTTCTCCTACCTGCCTTTTAAGTAGGTGGGAGCATTGTTAGGATGCTTGCAGTTGCATAGATGTAAAGCAGGATTTATGGTACTGCTGCCTACAGTAACTTCCTTATTGTTCCTCCATTGCACATGGCGACACATAGCAGGTGTGAAGTCATAGACGAACACATAGACGCCAAGAAGTGATCAAGGTTTGTGATGAAGATGTACAAGTCATCCCAGTATGAGAAGAAGCTGGACTAGTATTTGAGGCCACTCAGCTCACAATCTATCATATGTTGTGTTATTCTCCCTCAGTGACTCTGGCCTCTTTAACGGTGTTCGCACAACAGCGAGCACACACACACACACACACGGTTCGGTTCGCTCCCTGCCAGTGTGCCTAGACAGCGCTATTTATGAGCACTATTGGATTTCCACTGGGTGGTGGACAAACAGAACTGATGCTGCAGGGTGTGCGGGTGGGAAATTTCAGACAGCTGGCAAATCAATAAAAACCAGGGACCTTGGGAGTATTGGCATGGCTGCTGTCTAGTTGTACTGGTGACATGTCCTTATCCAGAGTGGTGACGGAGCTATTTCTTAATATGCAGTGTTGCAAATCGTGGCTATCTCAATCCCAATGGTGAGAGCTGGCTTATGGTGCAGGCGATAACACTAAGGAATTAAGGAAATATTTGCTGAGAAAATGATTAAAAACAAAAAAGTGTTTTGTTTTTTCTGCATAAACTGCACCACAAGTTCATAGAAGTGACTAGTAATGTTATGATTTATTTTTTTAGAGATCAATACGCTGTGTATATGGAAATTCTTAAATGTCAGGCATATCTGAGTTTGAGTTAGTGAATACGTTTTCAAAGCTTCAGTGTTGTGGCCTTACCCTCGGATCATGGCAAATGACTCATCACTGGAGAAATAGGCAGCTCCCGGGAGCACCGTGACAGTCTCCTTCCCTGCGGAACAGACAGCTGACATGTTTAATTCATGGAGATGCAGCAGTTGCAATTTTCTTTTAAAAGTCTCACCTGCCGATTCTCTTTCTAAGAACTACGATTGACAGAAAGGCTCTTTTCACCACCATCCCGAAAAAGTATTTCAACCTTCCCGAAGTCAGTGTAACCTTTAGCTTTGTTATTGCCATCTATGGTGTTTTTTTGCATAAAATGCAAATGATAAGGAGATAAATCTTGCATTTCTATTAAATATTTTTTATATTATTTTTGTGGCATTAATAGTTTGAATGATCTATTTTAAGCTGCTTAGAGCTAGTGCTAGGAAGTTAAACAGGTTCCCTCTCTAACATCTATTTTATCTTGCTGATAACATCTTCAAACAACTGTATTTACCTCAAGTTTCTTGGCAAAAATTAAATTTTACAAAATTACATTTGAACACATATTATAATTGACCTGCAACCAATACAATATTTTATTGAATAGAGCTTGAATGCATCATAACGCAAGTCAACGCAACCTCCGTTATAACTCCGCTTATAAGCAGACTGTGCTGCCCGTGCTGCCCGTGCTGTCGGCAGGCGAGCCGGTCACTGCGATCACTCTGAGGAGCATACATTGAAATAAATAATAATATAATAAGTGTCTGGTTATTGTTCCAAAATATTTGAAGGTTGTTTCTCCACAGGTTATCTTGGACTTGCAGTGGTGGTGACAGATTAAAAGCTTTATGTCTTCTTCACTCACACTCAAACATGTTCACATCAACAACATGTTATGGCTGTTGTGGCTGTGACGTTACCGTCTGTGCTGATGTGTGCCAACATAAAACTATCACGCGCTGGTGGCGGCGGCGGCACAAGCGTGCAAATGTGACCAGCAAAAATATCGAAAATGTGAGACTGATCGGCCGGTCACCATTGATGACCGATCAGCAAAAAAACTGTCGCTTTCGATAAGCAGCCGATCAATCGGTGCATCTCTATGAATCCATTTGGCAAAACGAAATATTGGGATTGATTTAACATAGCATAGAGGCGTTAACAACATGTCAATATCACTTTAAAAGTGCATCTGGATAAAACATTCAATGACTTTTATAGAAAATCCATTGTACACACACACACACACACACGTTCATCAAAGAGTGCGTGTGTGTATAATGCAGGAAATCAGTTGTCACCGAAAAAGCTCTTTTAATCAATCCATAACTTAGTTGGATTTTTACATATACATAGATTTATCATTGGGAAGAACTGATTAGAATAACCCTCACCAGCATTAATCAGGTCTGCATCCACTGCATCCTCAGTGGGGTACGGGCCCTGTGCAGAGAGAAGTGAAGATAAACAAGAATGTGTGCACAGCCTCACCCGCCATGATCCTTCAAAGGAGAGAAAGACACAATCACATGTTGGTGATTGGATGAGACACTGATTTTCTCTGTGCTCAACAAAAGGAGCAATCCTTTTGGATGGAGAGGGGAGGAGAGAAGAGCAGAGAGCAGTATCTCATTAACACTGGCACTCATAATCAAAAGAAACTTTGACAAATAAGGCATTAGCATAGGTGCCTACTTTCTCCTGCCCAAACAACTGAATGGAAAGTTATTCTACAGCAGCAGCAGCCTTTGTTGAAGACTCTGTCAGCAAAAAATGATCATGAGACAGAAAAATGAAAGAGAAAGTCAACCTGCCACAATCTGGCAAACCCAGCACATTTAAAATGATACTGCTCAAATGAGTGGCTATTCATCTTGCTACAAGCTCAGAGTACAATTCTGTTTTTAAAATGTTCCACACACAGGACAGAAAATAAGCTGCTCGTTAGCTTGTTTAGTTCAAATTGGAAGCACTGAAGCCGGAGTGGGAAGAAAGCTCTCTGTAGGTGTCTCACCAGTCCCAAAATTCCATTTTCACTTTGGAGGTTTACGGTGATGTCTGGTTTTATGAAGTTGCTGGCCAGCATGGGGATACCGATACCGAGGTTGGCTGTTTGGCTCTTTGTTAAAGATGCCAACTATTACATTTGTAGTCATGCATTGTGAAGCAGCTATTACAGAAACATACTCAGCATTGATTTGAAAGCTGCTTTAACAGAAACAACCATACACAGGAGAGCATACCGTGGACATTTTGGTGTAAGTTTGAAAGATTCCAAAGAACTATGAAGTCATAACATTTCCAACATACCAAATATGTCATGCTGAACTATAGGGGAAAATCAGGGATCGGTTAATAATAACTGCTTTCATAAGGACCAACCTATCACAATAACATGTAAATAATTGCTGAGAAAAAAAGTGCGGAATTTGAAAATGCAATCAACTAGCACAAAGGCAACAATTATTCATTATGTGTGTTGAAAACAAAGCTGTACAGAAAGAAAGAGGTTTTATGTGTTGTAATTAAGGGAGGAACCTAGAGCACAACACGATGGGATTTTGGGATTTGCTCGCAGCTCGAATTCTTTTGAAAGGATACCATACATCCTATCCTCAAACTCCAGAGCAGCCCGGCGAATGATCCTTTCCCGAACAATATCCGAGTCCTTCTTCGATTTGGGCTTGTCTTCTTGGCTTTTCTTTACCGTGCGTTTCTGGAAGTGTACAGGAATATATGAGGATCAGGGAGACGGCATGCTGAGAGGATATTTCTGGCTGAACATAAAGACACGTATGAATAAGAAGAGCTAGTATGTGCGCTTCTGAACAATGATGCAAATGTGAAATCCTGCTACAATGGCTTCGTCAAAAAGGGGTTGACTCTCCACTTTGCTGTTAAAGGATTAATCATGATTTTCAATAAAGTGACTCTCACATAATTCAGACACGATAGAGAGAGAATGGATACGTATGTTCTGCATAGGCCTGGTTTTGTACCTCGATCCTTTTTTCGTAGCTGGCTCCCTGGACCACCCTGTGGACGTAGATGCTGGGTATGTGGATGTCCTCTTCGGCAAAGGTCCCGACATCCACCACCTCCTCCACCTACACAGAGACACAGAGGGATGAACACGACCGTTGAGATTAAAGTTCAGATCAGGAACCCACGCACAGGTGGAAGTGCGCTACCAGAAAATGACCTCCGTCTACCCAGCTATGAAATTGAACAGGTTAACTGATTGAAGACCAAGAGTTTCTCTCGTTCTGCTTTTGCGGGGTTATCTCAAAAGCAATTATCTGGATTTTTAGGTTGTTGGGTATTTTTTTTAAGGCCAAACAAAAAGGAAGCTCAAGTGTTATTTTAAGCAATACAGCAGACTTTTTTAATTTGCTTCGATATCAAATCGTAAATTGAGCTACAAACAACTGTGATGCACAAGCAGACATTTGCACAGCAAATATGATCTCACTGGTTTAAAATGTCTGCTACCGTCATGTCTTTCAGGAGGAAGGCATGGTAAATATTTGTGGGAGAGTCTTACATTCATTATTTTAGCAACACCAGCGAGTTCACTGAAAGCTGTCTGTGTACTCAAAACCAGCCTGTGTGACTAAAAACAGAAGAGGATCATCAGACACACCGCGGCCCAGGGGACATAGCTTGATCCTGAGATCAAAGGAGATGGAGAGTGGGGGATCGTGGGGGGAGATCGTTTTGGTGTTGGGAGGATTTTGGTTGAACCAAAAGCACAGTTGAAAAAGAAACATACAATGTTTAGCTGCATATCTATATTTTCAGGTCTATTCCACACACACTCCGGCCTCAAGAATCTCTCACAACATTTATAGCTCAGCTTATTCTTTGGTTCTCAGTGGAGCTGCTACAACCTTGGCCATGTATATTGTCTACATACACCCCATTAACACTTCGATTACTTTTAATATGGCAGCATTAGGCTCAGTAATGTCAGTAATCGACTAAGCAATATATTCCTGACTCCGAGACAGGAGTGCACCACCTTTCTGTAGAAAGTGTCCAGCAGCAGACGAAGAGTGTACATGAAGGGTTATTTCTGTCCAACGAACAAGACGGATGCAAGTGGCTATTGATTTAAGCTGAGCTCGGTCAACATGCCTGGGATAGAAATCACCAGAACAAACGCACCTGCGCCCTCCTCCTTAGGTAACATGAGGAACTGCTATAAACTGAGCCTGTACAGCCTCAACTTACATAGGTGTTCAGGGACAGGCATGTGTGGGCTCCACTCAATCTTGCCGCCCGTTTTTAGCCTGCTCTAGCTCCTAAAAACTCATATGTCATGTTTACATCTGTAGGTTGCGTTATTAAAACATAAGAATCAGATTAGATTTAGAGGACAGATTGTGCTTATAGATAGATAGATAGAAGAGACCCCCAAGAGGAAGGAGGCGCAATTTCTTTCCTTCTGAAGATGCATCAAGAGGGGGGGAAAAGCACTTGGAATCGACACTAAATTAAATGGAAAAAGAGGAATATCGACACATCTTTAGGGACCAAAAGGGGACTTAACCATGACAACATAATTCTCGCCCTCCCCTTTTTACGCTCGTGTGCAGCTCACAGTGTAACCTACTTATTCCATTTACATGAGGGGCAAGCAGCCGTTCAGAGCAAATTGAATTGAATCTCTCCTTATCTCCACTTCCTCCCTCAGCACTCAGGCACTGACTGAGAGGAGTCAATGGCAAAGAGTGGATCCCATCTTAGCGTTGTCATGGATACGCAGGCTTTGGGTCTGTGGTGAGCTCGGGCCACTCAAGGCTGTAGAGTGATTTTAAGACTCCTTTTCTGGTTTCCCCTCAGTCGGGTTATGGTAAATCTCTGATGCTCTGCAGTGAAAAACGAGGCCAATGCGAGATGAGATTGGTAGCGCGAGAGAATTGATACGGCGGTCCCACACATCCGCCCACATCTTCCTCTGGGGGCTTGATCTGTCTTTTGTGAGAGTGATGATTTCCAGACATCTTCATCAAGCAAGACTGAGCTCATCACATTATAAAACAGTTACAGGGAGAACATAGGGAAGACTGGGGTGCAAATATTTGATGGCGTAAATTGACACTTCTGATAAATTCATTTAATTAACAGTATAAATCCCTAATTTTGTCTCCTCGATCTAAGTGTCAAATAGCGTGCCCCTCAAAAAACAACGGAAACAGTAAAAAAAGAAATCGCACGTCAACGACGAGTTTCAGTTTTTTGGTTGTCAAAAGACACGAAAACAAACAGTGTATTCAGCTCGATTTTCAATTAGCCTTCCATAGCTAAGTCGCAGCACAATAACAAGCTCATACAATTTAAATGTGCCGTGTACATAAAAAAGCCTCCTGCTCCTTTCATCTAGGTGATGTGTCCCGCCTGCACCGGCGCTCAGATGCAGTTCAGACAGGAGGTTCAATGGACGGGGACGAATAAAGCATTGAAATGAAATAATTAAGAAAAAAAACACACACATACAAAAGAATAACTAACACACACACACACACACACACACACACACACAAGCAGGTGTGTGGAGCAAGCAAACAAGCACACGCACTGACACACACATTGATATTCCTGTAAATGTAGAATGATTTTCAGATCAATGAGAGCAGAGCCAGGCATGAAGTGAGCTGGCAGGAGGACAGAGGGAATCAAAGTGCCCTCCGGGGACACAACAAGCCTTTTTTTTTTTTTTTTTAGCTTTGTCAAATCGTGTTACTCTCAAACTGATTGGATCACAATGCTCGCAGATTCCTAGAATAAACCACCAACAGCGGTGTTGCATACATTGTTTCCTCTACGGAGAGTAAACAAAGCTGGACACGTGCCATGTTTATCACAAATGTTTGCTGAAACAAGATAAAAACAAAAAGTGCTGCAAATACAGTCGACCGCATTTTCAAGAGCATGGAACTAAAACCAAAAAATGATCAGTGAGTGAAAAACACCAGCATGCTTTCAGACAGGAATTGAGATGCAGCCAGACAACACTTCAGCTCCAATCACACTCAATGCTCTGAGCGAAGGTATTCATTGGAGCTGATCACACCCCTATTGACCATCTGGCATACGTGCACCAAGTAAACAATGTGAGATCATATCTGCATAATAATTTTGACAATTCTAACAAAGCTAACTGTTCGTAAGCTGCCAGCTTCTAAAGGCTACTATATTAATTGCATCCTTTATTAAAAAGGGCAGTGGTTTAAATTAATGCCTTCTCTTCCCAGGGTTGTGCCAAAGGATAATTAGATTTTTTTTCTCTGATGATCATTGATACCCTCAACACATTTAATCAAATTTTGGTCATTTGTCATCAGTATCTTGTGGTGAACAAGCAATTTCAACATATAGTGCGCACGCTGAAACAATATTTACCGAGCAAATGTTTGCTCCCTTAAGTGGAAATTTAGCCTGATGGAGGTAATAAAAGGGGAGGTCTGGTTGTCACCAGGATCCTGAGGAATCTTCTGCGAGGGACTATAAATATTTACATCAAATCTTATTTCAATCTGGCAAGGGGCTATTTGGCTATTTTATTTTGGAAATGTTGGGAGCACCGATAACACCAGTCTATATTACGCAGTACGCACCACCAGGCGCTTTACAACTACTACTACTACTACTGCTACTACATCTTCTGGCTTGCTACCTTTTGCTAAATTAGTTAGCATACTTTACCACGTGGATTTAAATAGCCAAATAGCTGCCGTGTGACTATTCTCACCCGGGTGCAAATAGACACAAATAAAATGAGTGTGAGGAACTTTAAACTGGTTATTTAAAGGTCTCAATTTAATACTGGTGACTCTTTATGAACAACATAAGTAAATGGAAATAATCAGAGAGAAGATTGGCAATTTTTCTATAGTTATTCTTAATGCTTGTTATTGGTGCCACCAGGTTGGATTCTGCGCAAAATCAGATGAAATCCTGCAGGTTCACCAGAAACTCCTTCAGCTCAGACTCCAGCGGGGCCTCCGGCAGCGACCAGCCCACCGCAGACCGACCCAGACAAGGTTTTGCGGTTGCCTTCCGCCTGCCGTCAGAAGCTCCGGTGGGAGGGCGAGATCCCCATGCCCGGCAGTAGTGTTATCTCCTTCGGCTAGGAGCAAAGCGCTGGTGGAGACCCAGGACATATTGCTGGGCCCACTGGGGGGGAGGAGGGGGGAGAGTGAACCAGGACCAAGACTTACCAGGGCAGACTGTCACACCCTGCTGCAGTAAAATTAGACATTTTCTAAACGGACTCTGGGGCTCCAAAGACACTACCACATTTGTCCACAGGGACCGCCAAATTCAACAAAATGAAAGTTCCTTGAAGTAGCTTTAATAACTTATTTCTGAGTATTGAATAGTCAATTTTAAGTCCTAAATCAGATCTGAATAACGCCTTGACAAACTGAGATATTATAGACTGTAAAATAATCAGTGGCCAACACTATAATTGCAAAGCTACCTGACTTTACAATCCATCATGTTCGTGTTTTGTGTGCGTACTGATATGCGACAGTCCGGAGAAAGAGATGGTGTGGTTACGGGCAACAGAGCATGAGGATGACAGCGACACCACACTCTCATTACCCTGTGTATTTATAGCCTGTCCATCTTCCTCCCAGTGTGCGTATGTGTGCGTATGTGTGCGTATGTGTGCGTTTGTGTGCGTTTGTGTATGCGGGCACTTGGCCATGTTCTGCTGCCGCTTTCGGGGCTCAGCTCCGGCTCCATCCTCTAACCCAGAATACTGACAACATGAGCAATCTGTTTCCTCTCAGTGGAAACTCGCCTCGCCTATAACAGCCTTCATGGTATCCAGCAAATAGGAGACAGCCAGCCAATGCAAACCCTGACGACATCATAGGAACTAAAAATAAATGTTTAGAAGGACACACACTGCACACCAAAGGACATTGTGTCATGAGGATTTCAAACTCCAGCCCTATAGCTCAAATGGTAATGTTTACATTTCAAAGAGCACTTAAGCCTCTGTGCAAAGAGCATCAGATTCAGATGATAGGCAGGCAGTCATCAGAGAACTTTGAACTTATAGTCAGAGCGCGCAACATGCAAATTTACCATT